AGACAGGCCGAGGAGGGATGGCGGCTGGGGCTGGGGCTGATGGGGTGCAGGTCCCCCCTCTGCTCCTTCAGCACGAAGTCCCCGCAGCCCCGGATGTGGAGCCACAGGGGCCGCACTTGGTTTTATGTTCTGGCCGCAGCCAGGCAGCCGGGAGCTCAGCCCTGAGCCAGGGCCTGGGAGCTTTCCCAGCGGCCTCGTGCCCCGGCCTCCGCCTGTGGCCTGAGCTGTCACTGCCTTTCCCGGCCCCTCGCTCCTGTGTCGCTCGCACCTGGAAAGGTGGGAGCTCCGTGCAGCCCTCACCAGGTCGTCTGGTTAGGGAGACGTCATGTCAACGTCAATGAGGTGGTAGGAACGAAACTCGTTTGTACCAATTGGCTGGTGACATTGGCTTCCTCAGACATCGCTCTGCATGAAGTTGCAGAGGCCGTGGGCATTACGGGCGGGCTGACTACCGCTTAGGGCAGGGGGCGGGGGGCGGGGGGCGATGCTGGAGGCCATTTGAGATCAGCTAGCGCAGCTCCCAGGGAGAAGGAACCCCGCCTGCCCTGCCCAGGCACCCAGGCCGCCGGTGCCAGGACAGGGCCAGAACCCCAGCGGGGCCTGGGCCCCCACCGCCTTGCTTGCCGCAGAGGACACAGTTCCCCAGGATTCGAAGCGGGGCCTGGGCCCCCACCTGCCGTCGAGAGACCTGGCCTGGAGGGGTTCCTGTCCTCTGCTCCTCTCGATACCCCAGTGTGGTGGGCCTGGCGGTGGGCCAGGGCAGGGGGCTCGGGCTACCCTGAGGCCATACTGGTGCTGAGGTGGCCCCAGGGGTGCCACCGGCCAACACCCAGCCCGAAACCTGGCTGTGGACCCTGGGGCCCTGCCCCCTCCAAGGACCCAGGCTGTGCTCTTCTCCTTGGGTCCTCGTCTGGTCTGGCTGGGATGTGATGGCTCGGGGCCACTTGGAGCAGCAGCGCCAGGATTCAGAGCCCTGCCCCCTGCAGAAGCCGCCTGTGAGCTGCCTGCAGAGGCCGGGGGCTAGCCTCCTCCAGCTGCCCCAGCCCGCGATGCCCCCAGTGGCTTCGGCCAGGTCTGAAGGTGGAGGCAGCCTAGTGAGGGTGCGGGGTAGATGGCAGAGCCTGGCTCCTCCTCCCCATCCCTTGGCCGTGCCCACCTCCCTGAGTCCTTCCTCATCTGTAAAGCGGGGATGGTTTTACTTCACACCTGGGAGGGCTGTTGTGAGGTCGGCTGCAGTTACATCCCTTATTACTCCCGTGGCCTCCACCCGCGGGCCCTGCCCAGTCCGGCACGCTGCGGACCCTGTTCCCGGGCAGGGGTGGCCGGCTTGGTTCGCCGGCCCAGCTCAGAAGGTCCTGGGTCCCCCAAACGTGGCCCCTTCCTCTTGGAGCCTCCATCTCCCCCTCGGTGCTGCCAGGCTCGGGGCCTGGGCTCGGGGCTGTGGCCGTCCCTCCCGCAGGGCCACATCCAGGGCATTCCGTGCCCACCTCCGCCAGGGCCTCACCAGGCCAGGCACCCAGGCAGAGCTCCATGTACGGGAGGGGAGCCCGTGCCTGGGGATCCCCAGCTCCCCTCTGCCCAGATGTCGGGCTGCAGGCCGCTGGACGAGGCAGGACGGGACGTGAGGAAGAGCCCATGCTGTGGGTCCGAATCCCGACTCTCTGCAGACTTGCTGAGTGACCTCAGGCAGGTCACTTCCCAGCTCTGAGCCGGTTTCTCCCTCTAGGACACCCGCCTCCGTGCAAGGGGGTGAGGCCCCATGGGACAGTGCATGTGAAGATGCCCAGCCAGTGCCTGAAAGGCTGAGCCCTTGGGTGGGGGTGGTCGCTGCCAATTCCCGGGCACTGGGGCAGGGGGTGGGTGTGCTGGGCTGCCCAGGGGGGGCCCCGGCCCAGCTGCTCTGGCCTGCCCCCAGCTGCTCTGGCCTGCCCCCAGCCACACATGCCCCCAGCCACTCTGGTCTGCCTCCAGTCACACGTGTCCCCAGCCACACGTGCCCCCATGGAAGCTTGGGCGTGTGGGATGCAGAGGAAGAGCTGGGAAGGGACTTAATGATGCAGGGGGGACGCCACCCTAGGCCCCTCCGCACGGTGCCGGGAAGGAGCCGCGGCCCGGGTGGTTCTGTCTCGGCCGCTCTGTGGAGGAGTCTCTGGCTGACCAAGGGGCTGATGTGTGAACAAGGCAAACGACCGTGTCCACCTGAGAGCTGGGGCGTGGGTGGCAGTGACGGCACAGGGGTGGCACTGGGGCAGGGTCCTGGCCCAGGAGGGGGTCACGGGGGGGCAGGGACCTGGCCTGGCAGGGGGGCACAGCGGGGGGCAG